CAAAAGCTGGTAAGTGAATAAGAAAGACCGTAGAAGAACTGATGCTTTGGAGTTATGGTGTTGGAGGAGAATATTGAAAGTGCCATGGGCTGCCAAAAGAACCAACAGATCCATGTTGGAATCAGTGCAGCCAGAGCGCTCCTTGGAGGCCAGGATGGCCAAACTTCGTCTCTCATACTTCGGCCATATTGTCAGGAGGGACCAGTTGCTGGAGAAGGTTATCATATTTGGTAAGGTGGAGGGTCAGAGAAAAAGAGGAAGACCCCAGCATCAATGGGCTCAAGTGCAGCAACAATTGTGAGGTTGGCCCAGGACCGGGCTGTGTTTCGTTGTTCTGTGCATAGAGTCAATATGAGTCAGTACTAACTCAATGGCACCTAACAACAACAAGAACAACTGGTGAAATGAAAATTCGTGCACTAGCTTGAAAAACATTTTGGCATCATCTAGCAAAAGTACATAAGTAAAAATAAAATGAAGTACAATAATCACAAAATTAAGAATCATCTTTACCTCTGGTAAAAGTAAAGAAGTGTGATAGGGAAGAAGGTTTTAGGTACACTCCATGATAATATAATGAATGTTCTAGCATTCACCTTGGACTCACTGAATGGCATGAACGGCTAACACACTCTATTGCTAGAGATGCCTCAGAAGGAAAAGCTTGACCATCCACTTCTGAAAAAAAATCAATCAGCATTGAAAACCCTATGGGACATAGCATTCTACTCTGACACACATGGGAAGTAAAAAGAGCTACTGAAATTCTGAGTCCTGGAATACATACCCTAATTTGGGGCACAGTGAAAGCTTCCCAGAGAATTTACATTTTAATTGGGCTTAAAGAATGCATGAACTGGGGTGTGGGGGGGGGGTGCGGGGGGCTGTCTGATTGGCTTCCCTCTGTTCTATCCCTAGTATCTAGAAAAGTGCACTGTTGTGGCACATGGTGGTGGTGGTGGTTATGTGTTGTGGAGTTGGTTCTGGCTCATAGTGAACCTGTACAGGGTTTCTGAAGCTGTAAATCTTTACGGGAGCAGAAAGCCTCATCTTTCTCCTATGGAACAGCTGGTAGTTTCGAACTGCTGACCTTTTGGTTTGCAGCTTGATTCGTAACCACTACGCTACCAGAGCTCCTGTGGCACATGGTAGGGGCTCATTAAATATCTGTGGAATGAATAAATGGGTGGAACTGGCCCAGCTAACCTTAAGAAAAAGGAAAAGGAAAGGTAAAAATTATGGGTTGGTGCAGATGGAAATGAAGCAGGAAAACTGAACTCGATAAATAGTGGCATCTGACTCTGGTAGAGGGGGATCTGTCAGGGGAACCAGAATGCTCTCCCCTAGTGCTTTCTGCAAGGAGCCCTGGCAGTGCAGAGGGTAAAGTGCTTCACTATCAACCACAAGATAAGATAGTTCAAACCCACCAGAGGCTCCCTGGGAGAAAAGACCAGGGAGTTAAGTGCTACTGAGTCGGATTCAACTCATAACTATCTTGTATAGGATTTCTGAGGAGTGACTGGTGGGTCTGAAGTGCTAGCCTTATAGGATTAGCAGTCCGGTGCTTATCCTACAGCACCACTAGGACTCCAGTAAAGAATACAGCCTAGGTGGGAGTATACCCACAAACAGGTAAGGATTTGAAAGGATATTTTGTACATTATTTAACTTTGCTGTAAACATACCCATGAATGTGGTGGAGCACACAGCAGGCAAAATGATGAAAACACCTTAGATATTATCAAACATCTTAAGTCAATGAGTTACTGGGCCTAGGTGCTCAGGATCATAGCCTCAGGGGATACCATGCTTAATTGGCATAACATAGTCCACAAAGGCAATGTTCTACAGCCTACCTTGGTGAGTAGGCCATGTAAGGTGCACCTAATTGGTCTCTCCATGTTTGGAAGAAAGAAAAGTGATGAAAATTGCAGATACTTGGGATCAAATAGTACACTGGAGCAATGGAACAGATGAGCATTAGTCATCACAACTGAGACCAGAAGAACTAGATTGTTCCCAGCTACCACTACCAACTGCTCTGAAAGGGATCACATTGACGATTCCGGATAGAGCAGGAGAAACAGAAACAAAACTCAAAATTATGGGAAAAAAAAAAAAAAAGACAGCTTACTGGTCAGAAAGAGAGTGGAGTAATCCGAGATTATGGCCATCAACCACCTTAAAGAGCTAAATAAAGGAACTCACCCTTGTTAACCCAATTTTCAGCCAAGCAGCAGATAGATCTATAGGGGAGGCAACAACATGGAAGACCAATCATTTAAGATCAAAGGCAACATTTACCTCAGGACGAAAGTGAGAAGGGATGGGAAGATGGGTGGAATGGAAATACTAACCACAGGGAGTAAGCAGGTTAACTGTTGTTGCAGGGAGGGGATTGCAATCATTGAGATGAAACAAATTGTGTGATTTGTTGAATGTAAAACTGATGATCCTCTCTGAAAACCTTCATTAAATTCACAATTATATATATATATATATATATATTTAATGACAGCCTAGGAAACCCTATGGGTCAGTTCCACTCTGTCCTATAGGGTCACTCTGAGCTGGAATCAGCTTGATGGCACACAGTGACAACAACAACAAGGACAGTGCTCTCAGTAGTGTGCCTGCCTCAAGATCTAAAAGAGAGCCCCGGGAAGGAGCTCCGGAGAATCTTCCTCATTCTTGAAGTGATTCTTCCATTGGAAGAAGTGAGGAAAAGGAGGGTTAACTGTAACAAGCTGTAAATACACTCAAAATAAAACCCCCCAGTCATCCAGTGGTAAGGATTAATCCAAAATCTCCAAATCCCCAAACAGAAACTTCAAAAGAGCCACTTGGCTTTCAGTCTTT